AGCGGCTGAGGACTCCGCGTTCCCCTTCGGTATCTACTGCGGCGGAGCCCGGTTCTTCTTTCCCCGTTCTGGGAGGCCCGAGGGCCTAAGAACGCCCGTCCCCGCGACGTTCCGGGGCTAAGAGAGAAGGCGGGAGCGCGGTGGGTGCACCCCGCGCCCCCCTTCCCAGGTCCTCTGTCTCCCCCTCAGCTCTCGGGTCCTCCCGCCCCTTCCTCCACCTACCGTCCTGCGGACCTCAGATCGTCCGCCCCTCCCCCTAGTTCTGCAGCGGGGGTCGTGTTCGTCTACTGTCCGTGACTGGCTCTGCGCGCGGACCTGACGCCGTGCCGTTTCACTCACTTACCTAGTGAATAAAGAGCCCTTCCTGCGCGCTTCCCGGTGCCAGCTCCACGCTGAGTGAGATCTCCGGAGCCTGCAGCTCAGCCGGCTTCCGCTGAAGTAGCTTCTCTCTCCCGCCTCGTGCCTGACACAGATGATCCCGTTTAACTTGGAGCGGGGAGGTGGGCCAGGGCGCACTGCGCCTGCCTGGTCCCTACCTCAGCAAATGGCCGCACCGACCCGCCCCACTCCTCGCTTCCCTTCGCAGAACCCCCTCTTGCCGTTCTAGCAATATTACCAGACTTTCGAACGAAATTACTCTTACCTGCTGGGAACCGCTCTCTACCACTCAGATCCGTTTTCTGAGTCCTCCGCATGCGTACCAAGCCATTCCCTGCACCAGTGGGTCTTGTCAGTGGAGAGAACTGGCCAGGTGGGCACTCTTTCCTTGGGATGCTCCCCACGGTGGCCTTGCTGGGTCTAAGGTTGTGAGTACATTCCATTATTCGCTGCACCTTGGCTGAGGACCTATATACAGTGTGCCACCCCCTGGGCCAAGTGCTGACGCAGGCTAGGGGTGGGCCCGTGGGTAGGTGGCTGTGGCCTCTCCCCCACCAGGGCCCCAGTGAGCTAGGTGGGCACTGGGGACCTGGCCACGTGTAAGCCTCATTTGGACGGAGATGGGTGCTCTGTGGTGTCTAGCCCGCAGAGGCACTAAGAGAAACCGGAGTGAATACCAAGCAGGTGTGTGTGCTTACGTGTGTGCAGTTGGGTGGGGTTGGCCCTGGGAGAAGGCAGGTTATCCAGGCAGCAGCAGACCCTACAACCCTTTCTAGGGGCCCTGCTTGCTCCATCTGTTCTCCAGACTGTTTTGTATATTTTTTGTCCACATCACCGAGCTCTCTAATTGGTTCTAAGTTGTTATTTGACTTTCTTAGATTGTCTAATATTTCTCTTCCTCAAAGATACCCCCCAGTTTTTTTTACCTTTAGGTAATGAGGTGATAGTCCCTTACAGACATCTTCAAACACAGGGGCTCAGCGAGAGTGAAGGCTCTGGAGTCAGGGCTCTGCTTTTACCTGGCTTAAGCTCTTTAACTTCTCAGTTCCCTGTCGAAAAAAGGAGATAATGAAAATAGGGGCGAAGTTCAGGAGTACATGTAAAGAGCTAGGGCTCAATAAATCATCATCATCATATTATTATTATTGCTAATGTTAATGGGTCGATTGCTATGCTCCAGGCATTGTGTTAAATGTTTTATTTGTATTACTCTCTAAATCCTCACAGCATCAGAGAAAGATCCCTATTTTGTGGATTAGGGAATTGAGGCACACGCCAGCTAAGAGACTATGTATGGAGCAGGGATGTGGTTTGACAAAGCCCATACTCTGACCATTCTGGTCGTCTATGATTATTGTGATAAGGAGATGATGTTATATTTAAAAAGCTCCTGCAAGTTCGGGTATAGCAGTAAGTGTCCCATACAGTATAGCTTTTATTAATTTTATGGCTGGTTGTCACAAGATGCTTAGGCTTTTGTTGTGATAAAGTTCAGCTTTCAACAATGCAATCAAATTCTGTTATTTTTAGAAGTGTAGGCACCAGTCACGATCCCGAAATAAATGCAAGGCGTTGTGTAACTGTATTTTAGAGTGTGGTACAGTACACGTTTAGTCCATCATAGTCTCATCACTTCTATCAGGACTTTTAAGAAAAAAAGATGGCGGTGGTAGAGTACGGGGGCGCGGCTGCCAACTCCGAGTACCAGCGTGCACAGAGGCTGCCCCAGGGGGCGGGGCCGGGCCGGCGCCACGTGGGAGGCCCCGACTCCAAAGCCGAGGCGCCTGCGCCTGCTTCTCGGGCTGGGCTCGGCCTCATCGAGCACGCGCACTCCGCCAAATTCTGATACCTCTGATTGGCCGACTCGCGTGCATTCCCCACCCACCCCACCCCCATTGGCGGAGCCACCCCAGCTCTGGGTCCTTCGCTGGCTCCGAGGCGGAGCAGTGCGAGGGTCCAACAGCAGCGTGGCAACTGGGTTCCACAAGGACTGGTAGGGCAACTTCGGCTTCATTTGAGCGCTCCAGTCCAGGGGCGGAGGCAGCTCCCGTCTCCACATTCCGCCGCCGTTCCCCTCTCCACGACCTTGGTCGGGCATGTTTTCCAGGGCCCAAGTGAGGCGGATTCTGCAGCGGGTGCCTGGGAAGCAGCGACTCGGCGTCTACAGGTTCCTGCCCTTCTTTTTTGTCCTGGGAGGAACGATGGAGTGGATCATGATTAAAGTGCGCGTGGGCCAGGAGACCTTCTGTAAGTGGGGGCGGGGGGGGTGCAGCAGTCTCTTTTATTTCAGACAGGCAGGAGGCGGCAAGAGAGCCGTTTTCCTGGGAAATATCCTTAGATTGCAGACCGCACATTCCTCTCAGCGCTGAGCTGCTTTTATCCTGGTTGGAAGGGCGAGTGCAGTTCCCTTCGCTGGGCTGTAGAGACCCTCTCTGGCTCTCCAGGAAACGGGGCGACAAAGGCACACTGGCATCCAACCTTGAGGCCTTCCTTGCACTTTGAGGGGAGGGCACTTCTCTCCATTCAGGACGCCCTCCTTTCAGGCTTTTCCTTTGCCCATGCCAGTGAGATTGGGCGTAAGGAATAGATTTACTCACCGCACCTAGAAGCGAGTGGGATCCTGAGGATCCGTGGGAGCTCCTGCTAACTGCCTAGTTCTCTCTGGACTCTTAAGTCCAATCCCAGAGGGAGCTAGTTTGCCTTGCTTAGCTTTATAGGCTAGAGTCATTGGCCCAGCACTGTGAAAAGAATGCCTGGCATTGCTTTGTTGAGCACTAGCTGAGGACAGGCTAGGAAACTTCCCTAACTCCTAGGCCCTTTCTGTTTTCTCCCTCTCCGTAAATATAGTATTACTTGTAAATTGTCTACCCTCATTTAAAAAAAAAGCGCTTTCTAAAGATATTTAGTCCTTCTGTTCATTCATTCACTAATATTTAATGAGCACTGGTGAGAGGATATAATGAACAAGGCAGAGGGTTCCCCACCCCAGAAGAGCTCTAGTGGGAGAGCTAGATCATACAGTTACTATCAAGTGTGATCAGTGCTGTGAGGGGAAAGGTGAGGGGGCATGGGAGTCTTGGGTGGGGCACCTTAATTCGACTAGGTGGTGCAGGGAGGCTTCCTGGAGAAGTTACCATGTCATGTAGGACCTTAAGATTGAGTAGGTGTCAGCCAGATGAGGGAAATGTTTATGGAGTTGAAAGTGTCTCATGCCAGTGGTAAGCATAGTCATGAGGGCCTAGGTGTGAAAGTGTGCTGTGTTTGAGGGACTGAAGCAGGTGAGCAGACTGAGGGATGAAGTGGTTAGAAAGGTGCCTGGGCAGGGCCACAAAGGGACTGGAGAACCAAGAATGTATCCCAAAGAACTGATGGGTTTTAAGCAGCAGCGTATTAACACATGTGGAGAGGAGGTTGGCAGGAATACTTAGGCTGTGTGGTTATCCAGGTTTATGATGGTGGCCTGGTCTAGGGTGGGGACAGAAGGGATGCCAAGAAGTAGATGGAGACACTTCAGAGGTGGGACTGGCAGGGCTTGGTGACTGAATGGACTCATGAGGAGTAGAGGCTCTTGTAGGGCACCTGGGACAGGGGGAACACAGGCAGGACAATCCTGGGCTCCATTTTGGACATGCTGAGGTGGAGATGGTTATATAGATCTGAAGCTCAGAAGGCAGATCTGGGTCTTAGATCTAGGCTTGTAGGTCATTCACAAGCAGATTGTGATGAAAGTCAGTCAAACTCTAACATTTTAAGGGTGACTGAGAGTGGCCAAAGAGGCAGGGAGGAAAACCAGAAGGGTATGTTATCAAAGAAAACAAGAGGTTCAGGAAGTTTGACTTAGTGAAAGGGAGGGAAGCCCCCTCTCCCCTACCAGGAGAGACTCGAAGATATGCAGATACCAACCAGGAAAGAGCAGGTGGAGAGGGGCTTGGAGATACCTTGGCCCTAGAGAGGGTGGGACGGGATGGGATCAGAGCAGGGCAAGGAGTAGCTCTTGGAAATTAGCTGGAAGAGTCCTTTACTGATGACTTGTCTCTGTGAAGAAAGAGTCCATGGCTATTTGGGGGTTGGTAAAGTAGCGTCAGGGTGACAGCTGAGGAAACAAGATTGTCAGGCATCACAGTGGACTGATTAGATGCAACAGTTGGTCCTACACTGCAAAGCAGCAGAGCGAGGCATGGAGAAGGAAGGAAGTTGTAACCTGTAGTTGTGGTTTTGAGAGTGTGTCAAAAAGTTGATATTGATGAGTTAGAGAATTTCAGCTGATTTGGGCAGGAAGAGAGAACAAGAGGGTCTGAGGAGGTATTCAGGGGCCAAGGGCCTGGGGAAGTTGGCAGAGGTCCAAGGTCAGGAGGCTAGAAAGTAGAGGATGAGGTCAGAGCAGAATGAATTTATTACTTCAGAGGAACACTGCAAATACATGGCAGAAGTTGACTGGAGAAGTCAGGAAGGTGAAGGGCTGGCGCTTCATCCCTGTGGGGGGTGGGGTTGCCTGGGAAGATGGCACAGGTCAAGGAGCTGAAGCTAGATGCCAGCATTTTCGGAAACTGAAGAGAAGTGATAGACAGCAGGTGCCAGTGCGGAGATGGTGGCAAATGGCAGAAGCCCTAGAGGAAAAGGGTAGAGAATCAGTATCTGGAAAGCAGCAGCTGAGAACAAGGAAGCTGCCCTCAAGTCCCCACAGAGAGCTGCAGGGCAAGTGCCCTTGAGGGGCCAATGAAAAGAATGATTTCAGAGAGAATAGAAGTTGCTGAGAGGTGTGCTAGGACATGGTCCTATCTTTGAAGACACTGACTCTGACCCTGCTATTGATATCGGGAACTCCATTAACATGGTCCTCATTCAAATCGTTTTAAGTTTATTTTGGCGTTGAATTTAACATTACCTTTGAGATTCAGGTGACAGACCCAGGCTATTGGCTAAATTACTTAAATATATGAGTATTTTTAAATCCTTAGTTTTTTAAAAATCTAAGTAAAATCTTTGTTTGATACAGACGATGTCTACCGTAGAAAAGCCTCAGAAAGGCAGTATCAGAGAAGGCTGGAAGATGCATCAGAGACTGAACTTCAGCAATCAATAAAGTGAATATGAAACTTTACTACTGGTTTCAATTCCTTTAAAAACATACTTTTCAGATCTCTTGTGCCTTTAGAAAGAATTTTTATAGTTTTTCCGCCTCTCCTTGAATACTTCCCAAGTCACTGATCAATCAGGATGCTTTTCAGTGCGGTCTGAATTGTTTGTGGAGTCCTCTGTTGTAGACTACAAAGGATAACCTTGTTTAATTTTCTGCAGAATTTAGATTTAATATGAATAAAATTAAGGTCTCTATTGCAGGATCATTTAAACCAGAATAATTATGCAGACTACATTTCTGCCAGTTACCAGTTTGCAAACATTTTGTTAGAATGATGGGAATTCCTGACCACACATGACTCACGTTAAGTGCTCTTAGGAATAGAAACAGCCCTTCCCTTGCCTAATTCTACTAACATACAAGAGCTGGAACTCCATGAGGACTGGGGGAGGAACAGTTTCCACTCCCCTCTGTGATGAAGATGTTGCTTTCATCCAGCTCCTCAAGATAAAGACACTGCTCCTTCCCAAAGAAAGTGAATCTTCAGAGTGTAAAGCAACCACAGACTTCACCTAATTAGAGGCCCAGTCTGTTGGGAGAGATTCTACAACCTGACCCAGAGTAAGTTTGGGTCAACTGGTAGAAAAAGCAAAGGCGTCTTTCCATTCTTGGATAACCACATCCAACATCTTTTCAAACAAGAAAGTATCTACGTATTAAGACTAAGTTTCAAAATAGTCTCTACCTTTTCCTCATGAATAAGGAAGCATATGCTTAAGGCCACAGGTTATCCTCAAGTTAATGATCTCTGCCCCAAACTGTTCTAAGGGATTGTTTTTTCCAATTTAAGTCAGTCCGTTTATGTTAGAACCAATTCAGTATAAGGAGCCACTGATTACTCAGATCTCATTAAAGCACTACTGAGTCACTGCTCAGATGGCTTGAGTGTGAAGACCAGTGATGACCAACAGCACCCGGGAGAGGAAAGTGGTTCTCACATGCACTTTTGTCACCTCGAGAGTTCCTGGTAACCCTAACCTCAGGCATTTTAGTGACTAGACTGCTGCATAAGAAATTTAAATTGTGGACTTAATTCCATTTGTTCCCCCAACCCCAGGTTTAGAAGCTTAAGTAATATTCTATACATACAGAGAATATGTAACATGCACACCTTTTATAAAGAATAGTTGTAAATGCTAATAAAACCAACTGACTTCTGTGTTTGCTGTGGTTTTCTTCCTTGGCCCACACCTCTGCCTCCACCCCAGAGAGAATCTCTAGTCTGAAATTCATGTTAAACTTTCCTAGAGTTTTCTTCATCTTCTTTTAAAAATACATGTATTAGAGTGCCAATTTATTGAAGACAACAAAACTTTGAAGATGACAAGACGATGTCTGCCTTCACGGCAGACTAGCAAGGCAAGTATTGTGTTAAATTGACACTTTCAGAGCACATTAATTTGGATGCCTTACAGTAAGAACTAATTTTTGTTAACCAAGGTGCAAGCCTTTTAACTGCCTCAATTTTTTAACCCTTTTACTAAGGAATATGACTACCCTACTTACCAGACAGTAGGGTTATTTAAGGGATCTTTATTAAAGTTTAAAGAGCAATGCTCTTACCTGTGGGGAGAGAGAAGGGGGAGGGTCAAGATGGAGGTGGAGGATTAAGAGGTACAAACTATCAGGTATAAAATAAGCTACAAGGATGTATTGTACAACATGGAGAATATAGCTAGTATTTTATAATACCTATAAATGGAGTATTAACTTTCACTCAGCAAATACATGTGAGTCTCTCTTGCCATTCCCTTTTTATTTTAATAAAATAATCCTGTAACTTTATTATAATGGTGGAGCTCTGGCTGCTTGCCCATCATCACAGGTGACAAGACTCTAAAAGTTAATGTGGAGCTGCCAGTTCCAGCTCTGATCTGTGTTCAGACTTCCTGTTGAGGGAGAGGAGGAGAAGATCCCGTCTTATTTAAGATACAGCTGTTTGAATTGCCTGTTATGTGCAGATTGACAGATGTCCCAGAAACCAATGCAACTTCACCTCTGCGGAACAGGAACGGGCCCACGGTGCCGTGTTTCCTGGGACTTTGCTCGCATTGCCTGGAAGGTACTCTGGGCCGAGGTAATTTGAATCTGCTCCCCAGATGGAGAGAATCCAAAGAACTCAGCAAGTTGTTTTATTCCAGTGGCCAGATTCTGAAAACAAAATTGTAAAGGGTAAACTTCTGTGGGAATTGGACCCTAAGCAAAAACAAGCTTCTTAGAATGGATTTGTTAAGCTTAACTCTAATTCATCTCTGTCTCTCTCTTCAGACTTACTTAGATTCTTCTGTCTATTTGAAATATCCCTGTTTAAAAAAAAAAGTGCTTATGTGCTGCTTACAAAACTGCAGTGCCCCCTAGTGTAAGCTACAAGGCAAACAATTTAATAACTCACATTTCAAAAACCACAATTCTTACTCTAGAAGGACAAAAATCTAATTAGCATTTATTGCTAGAAATATTCCTCCAGTGGGGTGTTGAGGAAAGAACGTGGGTTTTGGAGCTTCACCTTATCATCTAACTCATAGGGAAAGTACTCAGACACAGAGTAAATATGCTGGCTATCTTTGTTCATCTAGCAGTTGTTTTGGAAACGGAAAAAAAAATCTGAAGTTATAACTTTAAATCTCTTTTTGAAGTTTGGATTTTTTCACAGAGTTACTTTTTTTTTTTGGATGGGGAAGGTAATTAGGTTTCTTTTTTTTATTAGTTTACTTTTTTAAATGGAGGTACTGGGGCTTGAATCCAGGACCTCATGCACGCTAAGCAGCACTCTACCACTGAGCTATAGGCTCCCCACAACCCGCCCCACTCCGAGTTACTTCTCTTTAGAAAACGAAAACAAAAACAAAAAAACCCCTACAAACTTAGACCACTGTATTTCCCGAAACAATTTCTCCCCTAGTAAAGCAGTATCAGTTCTTAGTTTCCACACACATGTATTAAATTCGGAATTTCTTGCCACATTTATGTGCAATCCACAAGATGTGAATTCCATATGTATTTGGGGGGATAGAAACAGAGTATTATTTTTCCAGGTGAACTTTCATTCAGCTGAGCTAGCACACTTCCAAACTAAAAAGGAACAGAGTCATACTTAGTATTGCTCAGAGTGTTCAGCTGGAATGTTTAACTATACATCATGATCATTCAAAATGTGCTCATGAGCACAGATGGCAGTACAGCCCTGAACTCTTAGAGGAGAACAGAACCACAGGGATTTGCAAAGTGATGTTAGAGGAAAACAGTTGGTTGATTTTACCAACACTTTCTATTAAAAGTGTGGTCATGTTTTAGGAGCTTATAAGCATGATAAAACATAATCTGGGCCACCTGTCTCTTTTGGCCACAGACAGCTGACTATCTGAAATGGGTTACACTGCTTTATGATATAGGACATGCTTTCCTTACCTTCCACTATCAGTAGGAACTTTCTGCAATTTTAACTTCAGCCTGCAGCGTGACTACATTCAGCTTCTGTGTTAATGCAGCCTGAGTCTGAACCAACATCTGGATGCAGACTTTTGCCTCCGCCCGAGGAGCTCTCTTCCCTTAAATTGGCAGCTATATCTCTATCAGCCTATAATTAAGGCTTGCAGGAATTAAACCTGCTTGAAACTAACATCTGACACAACGATTAACAGAACAACCAAACCTGGTTAATCCAAATCACTTTGCAAACTCCATTTTTATTTGGATTAAAAAGCTTTAGATGAACAAACATATGATACATACATAATATAAGACTAGTTATCACTTAAACCTCTTTTGATACAGAAATTAGAATAAACCAAGTTTTAATCAGGTCTGAAAATGTTCAAGTTCAAAAGTCAACAACACCAATTTGGAGATTTTACACAAAGAAGCGGTCCCTCTCAATTCTTCCTCATAGGAAGAGAAGGGTGGGTTCAAAAACAAAGCAGTTCAGAGCCTTTTAAATCAGTCGACTGACATACTATTTTAAACCTATAGGTTTTTTTCCCCCACATAAACAAAATTCTTTCCCACATGAACTTACATTTTGAAAACATCTAGGCCATTATACTTTCTAAGCCGTATCACTACAGTTCCTAAAACTCACGAAAGAAAAGAACTATAGTTCACTTGTACTTTCTTAAGTCAGGATTTTTTTTTTCCTTTTTCTTTTTTTGGTTCTTTTTTTGGAAGATGGCTGGACCTCAAATCTTATATACTAAATATTAACTGATATTCTCCAAGTTAATATACAGAAAGACATGATTCTAAAATAAATACATAGAGTTTTTTTTTTTAACTTAATCAGGGCCTGCCTAGTGGCCCCCTGGCCTGGCTATGCACTGCCTTAGGGAAGCCCCTGGCTGGATCTGGTACCTACTGCGCCTCTAGACACTGGGAAGGAGCCTGGAGGAGGAGTGCTCTGGCTTCTAATGCCCTACACAGCCCACAGTGAAGAGTTTTTAGAGGCTTCCCAAAGAAGTCTCATCCAGACCTTAAAAAGGGAAATAAAATGGGCGCATGAAATAAATAAATAACTTAACCAATATTAAATTTCAGGTTCTTTGGTGTAATTCAAGGATGTTTAGAAATAATCTGACTGTATTCTACAGTCCATGATAATTCAATGGCCCAAAAAACCAGGAACTGAAGATTTCTTTCTCTGATTCAGTTTAACAATAAGGTACTGACATACCACTGTAATACACTAAAAAAAATTCAGATTTAAAATACTTCATGCAAATTGGGATTCAGTGGTTGACTATAGGCAATTAAGTTACAAGGGCCTCCTGTATTTCAAGCATCTAGATACAAGAGACTTTTTGTCATTTTACACTCTTTTGTCACCATGATTTAGCAAGAATGGTAATTAAATATCTAGGTATTGATTCATACCAGATTAAAAGAAAAAAGTATCCTCTGAGAGTCACTCTCTCAACCTACAACAGTGGAAACTCCACCACGATGGCAACTACCTTGTTACAATAAAG